AAATTACTTTATTTTTTTAATTACCACATGCACCTTTTTTGTGCAAAACCAAGACAGAGAAGTGGGGTCCAAGTGGTAATATATGGGTGTAATATGCAGTTTTTGAAAAATGGAAATGTGGAGGTGCGAGCCATAAAATTGATTTTTGGTAGGTGAAAATGATGAACATGGAATTTTTCTCTTCACAAATCCAGTCACAATGTTCTACGTTATTACATTTATTTATGGGATTATTTCCTTTGACATCATCTTGAAAATTTTAATTTTTTACCATGTAAAACTGGTGTGTATATGTCATATGCATCAATAAATGTTTTTTTAAATGTCCTGCCAAAAAAATGAGATGCATGTCTTATTTGAGGGTGATGCATGGAACTTGCGCAAATAAGGTTTACTTTTTCAAAAGGTTGATATCTCATCTCGCTTGACTAAATTGAGATATTCCAATGAGAAAATTTCAAAATGTATCTTATGCGCTGCTCTAATTATTTTCCAGGAGAGGCTAATTTTGCGCTTCTCTTTTTTTTCAGCAACTTCTCAACTTTTTTCAATTTATTTCGCGCATGATAAGTGATTTTGTTTTGATGCATGGAAACAGTCTCAGAAGTACTGCACTGTAATTACGTCCTCACCTCAGGGCCCAAGTGGCATTCTTCTTCAAAACAAGTACATTTCTTTCTTTTTCCTAATTTTCAGCCTCAGGTCTACTCCGCTGATTTCCCCAGACAGGTTTGAATCACCCCCATCATGTCACTAACTCCCATTATAATATTTCATTGCTGTAGAAGGGTTTCCGGTATAAAAAAAAAAAACATGACAAATGATACCATTAAGGTCGTGCTAACACATAATATCAACAGGGGACCCCAATTCATTTTCTTCATCGGATAGGATTCTAGGACGAAATTCAGAGACTTTCATCTTGGTCGCAGATCTTTTTCAAGCGTCCTCTTCCTTAGAAATTGAAAATGACGTGCTTTAAAAAAATGAAGGTCTTGACCTCGCTATATGTCATAGATTACATAGCAGAACGAGGAGAGAAGGTCTAACATGACTCCCACGTATACCGTCAATGTTTTCTGACCAGTAATTTTAAAATAATCTTTGAATGATTCTAGATTCGCAGTGAGACATTAATAAATATGAAGCACGAAATATTGAAGTACTGTATTCAATAATCTGCATTAATGATAACAGATAACGAATAATGAAACTCCCCCAACCATCCTCTCAAATACCATCAGGTGTAATTTTAAATGAATAAGATCCGCACTGATTTCTCAGAAAAGCACTTTTTCTTTGTGCATAGGAAATATGATATAAATATATATAAATATAAATATATATATATATACTCGTATATGAGAGGCACTTGCGTTATCAGCTTCCACTTATACTCTTGTATTGTGGATGAGTATAAGTTTTGTGACTAAGCACTTCATTTTCCCAGCTAATAAGTTGATTTGCTTATTTAATCAACTTCACCCAAGAAAATACTTGACCCACGCGATGGAAAAGTAGGATATAAAAAATACAGCAAGTTTCTTTCATTCAGGAGGCTACACTTTTGGCTGCTTCTTTTGATTATCAGCTGTGAACATTCATGACTCATATTATGTACAGAGGCCCCAACATATGGACAATTCGAATGATTGGGGATATGCCAAACTGACACTGTCCCAATATATGTACAGACAAAGTTTCAAGAGAGACACACTTTTCCAAAAGTTCTAGAAATTTCCAAAATTTTAAAGTTTCTGAATTCTGATATCTCTTGAAAAATTGACACATTTATTTTCACAAAAATGAAAAATTCAATATATGAATAATTGTAACTCAGAGCTAAAAACAAGCTAATTTTGATCTCTTTTCATCATCTGTGCATTGCAGAAATAGCTGTGAAATATGGCAGAACCTGTTTTCTCTGCTTCTTGAGCTCATTTTGATGCCAAGAGATCAGATTCTGTGTGTGATTTTCTTCAGCACAAATATTTCCTGTATCTTCAGGTTGAGAAAACAATTATTAAAACATTTTGGAGACGTATTTATTCCTAATATTTGATAAGCAGGAGAGCCAATAGACTATTTTCCAATCGAAGTCTATGGGAAAATTTGATTTTCTGAAACTTGAGAAAAAGGTTGTGCACGGTACTCAGGGCATATATATATTGTGTCATAGCTGTTTAAAAAAAAGTAATTCTCTCCATGAAAAAATGGCATGCAAAATAGTAATGAACAGTGTGCATGGTTGCAAAAAATGAGTCAAAAAGTTGGCATGTCCAAGTCCAAAATGGCTTGGCTTCCTATGAAAATAATTTGGGTTCCCTTTATTTATGAAAGCATTATTTATGAAAATCTGTTTTTCTTTTTTTCAGGGAACCATGCCAAGAGCCACCCAGTACCGGTCTAATGCCCGGGGCTCAAGAAGTGTGCTGCGAGTTGCCACATGATTGGTATGTCTTTCCAGCAGGCAGTATTTGTGCCATGGTCGTGTTGAATAAACGGTATAAAGGGGAACTTGGGATTCGAAATTGTGTTTATGATGCACACAAGGAAGACTTTCTGGGTGTCACCCTAAAAGTTGTCCCGTCTCCGGCAGGAAAGGTAATTAACCCGGGGCCGCAAAAAAAGGGAGCTGAATAATATACGTTTGTATGGCGTCAAGGTCACCGACTATATAAACGTCTGCTTCAAATCATATTATTATTTGAAAAATTCTATAAATGCTGTTTCTGGCATTTTGCGTGTTTTTCGAGCAAAAACTCAATCCTTCTATTCGCATTTAATGAGGTACTTGCCGATTATGCTTCAAGGAGAATGAAGTGGCCATTTTTAATTGTGTACAGTACTGGTAAACGGGCTGAGATTCGCGGGAATACCTTTGAGGTTCAAAATTAATCATTGTGTACAGAGATCAGTTTGAATATCAACATGTTCTACAAAACCTACAGTATCTACACCATGCCATTTTGTTAGTATATAGGAACTGTATCGCATTTATTTTCCTCTATAGAATCACGAGTTCTCAAACATTTTTCTAATGAAAACTTCAATGCGCATCACAGGGTCATTAGACACAATCAAAGATTGGCTATAGCCCCATTTTTATCTTGAGACAATTTTCCTGGGATTGGGTTACTTACATATTCCATTCCCCAATGGATTGTATTGTATTGTACAATACTATACATGTACAGTACTATACATGTACAATACTATACATGTACAATACTATACATGTACAATACTATACATGTACAATACTATATATGTACAATACTATACATGTACAATACTATACATGTACAATACTATACATGTACAATACTATGCATCAATACTATAATGCACAATACTATACATGTACAATACTATACATGTACAATACTATACATGCACAATACTGTACATGTACAATACTATACATGTACTATACTATACATGTCTGAGACAGGGACATTTGAAACATTTTGTTAAACAGAAAATACTGTACTTTGAGATCTGTATACTATGTCAGACAGAAGCATTCTGGGACAAATAAAATTATAGGCAGAGACATTTGATGCCAAATTTATTTCCAATTTTATACAGAAATAATTTAGTCATTCAGAAAAATTAGATATCTTCATCATCTGCATGCTTCTGGATCCATAAACTGTACTTCTTGAGCTGTTTATTTTCCCAAGGCTTGTCATATGCAAAAGGAACCCAAGATGCCACACTGAATCACCTCCCATAATCACTGCAGTCTGACCACACCTCATAAAGTAAAAACTCAAATCTTAGAACCAAACTATGCAGGTCCCTTATTCCTTGATCGATGTAGACTTCTGGTTTATTTATCCCTTGGGCAGCAGTCCCAAGATTCATTTGCAAAACTGTGTGCCCCAAGGAGTAGAAAAAAGGGGGACGAAAAATGATTGGAACAGCCAAAGTCGGGAAAATTCGTTTTTTTTTCATTCCTGCAGAAAAATTTGCAAACACAAGAAAATTAATGTTGGGTGCCATTTTTTCTGCATCCCTGCTACAGGATTAGCATGGAGGAGTATATCAGGACATTGACTTTCTTTATGCAGGAGTTTTTCCCAACTTCAGCTACTCAGCCAACGCTGCATTTTGGTGACCTTTGGTCAAACTAAAATGCAGGAGCCTGCAAAAAATCCAGGCACTGTTGCGCAATGCAAAAGAACCCAACACTGTCCAAGGGTTGAATACATAGAATGATAAGGATTTTAATGTAAATGTTTCAAAATTTCCATGCTTAATTGTCCCTGTTTGGAAAAGTCAATGTCTCAAATTGTCTCTGTCTCTATTTGCCCATGTATGAAAGTCACCCCGTTTGTAAGTGTCTCTGTATCAAATGGTCCTTGTCTCAAATTGCCACAGTCTTGAATTGTCCCTCTTTCAAATTGCCTCTCATTCAAATTTTTCCTTTGTTTTGAATTGTTCTTGTCCTTGTCTTGAATACCCTCTCCCTGACATTGTCTTTGCTTCAAATTTTCCCTTTCCACTGTCTGTTTAAAATTGCCCCAATAGGCCCTACCTCACATCATTCCGGTCTCACATTGTTCCTGTGTCAAATTGCCGCTGTCTCAAATTGCCCCTGTCTCTCACTGTCCCTGTCTCTTATGATTCCCTCATATAATGTTCCCTGTTCATTAGTGTCCCTGTCCTAAATTGCCCCTCCCATTTGAAATTGTCTATGCCTCAAATTGTGCCTGTCTTGAATTGTCCTTATCCCGTATACAGTAACACAAGAAGAAGAAACGTTTAAGCCAACAGGCCTATATATATTCAAGACTCTCCACACATATACAGTACAGTACAGTACAGTATACTCTTACATGGTGTTATACATGGCAATAAGGGGACAGGAATAAAAGAACCACCCTCAAATAACGCCGCCGTCATTATATATGCATACGGCATTCGTCCATTAAAATGAGAAGAGCTTGGACAATGAGTATTGTACAGCTCATGATGAGAGACAGGACTGCTGTGCTGATGGCCAGCACTTGCGCGGGCCATGCCACAGTATGATCCAGACCGGGTGTGGGTGCAGCAAGGAAAAAGCGCGTAACTCACACAACTTATTATACTGCTTAATAGACTGACCGACTGTCTGACTGTACACTGCTGCAAGTATCAGCTATACAATAAAGAAATTGAAGAAGAAAAAAAAAGAAGGAATCAGCAGAGGAAGCATTATACAGCAGGCAATTGAAAAGGGGAGTCGGTGCAGAACACATATATCCGCCCTCTCGTCTGCTAGTGCTGATCCATCCCTCCCTCTCCCCCCGCGGGGCTTTTCCAGCACAGTGCCAAACTTGCCAACGAAGCAAGTATACCACCCATCGGCTCTCGCTGCTGTGTCCGAAAGAGAAGCAGCAGCAGGCGGGAAGAAAAAGAAAAAGAAAAGCGCCTCTTCTTAGTGCCGACGTTTCGCGAAAAGGGGACGAACGACGAGTGAACGGAACCCGCTGAACGGGGGACGGGAGAAAAAGCGAGAGAGAGAGAGAGAGAGAGAGGGAGAGACGGTAATAAACAACAACAACAACAACAACGAGAAGCCATCAGTGATTGATTTGAACCGGAAGAAAGTGCTTCATTTCCCCCCCAACCCCACCCCCCAAGTTTTCCTCTTTCTCCTATTATATCATTCCCGAATAATCCCCGATGAAGTGGACGAGCGTGTTTGCATCAGTCACCCCACCGCTGCTGCTGCTCCTGATGATGGTGGCGGCGGCTGGCCGCCAAGTGGACGGATCCCCGGTGGTGGCGCCGGCGGATGCGCTGGCGGGGACCGACTACGACTTCCGCAGGGGCGCCGCCATGGCCGACGAAAGGTAATATAGTCCCCCTATGATATGATCGTGCCCCTTCGACTTCAGCTCACCTTTTCCCCAGCAAGCTGTAGATACAGCAGTATAGAGTGGCAAAAGTGAATGAGTGAAGCAATAAGTGAATTCCTTCCTCGTTTCTTTTTATTTTTTTCCTGGTGCTGCAGTGAGAAATATCTGCATATTCTGGCTACTGCTGCTGGTGGTATACAGTATTGTCAAACCTCTTGAATAAATCGAATTTTCAGTGATAAGGGACACACTCAAATACATACAGTATTTGACTCAGGAATTTGACTCAGGAATGAGGGCTCCATTTAGGTAGGAGAAACATTTTTGTTGGGGGAAAGAAAGAAGGAGTATAGCAGGAAATTGTAATTTATGACATTTTGGGCCTCAAATTGCTTTTTGAATGACTTGACAGGTATAGTTGCTGAACTTGGAGGCACTCATGGTTCATTTGCCCAATTGGTCTTTGACTTCCCTTCAAAATTCATCATGTTACATTTTCATTGATTTTCTATTTCCTGCTTCAGTAAACAAAGGACGAGACAAAAGATCTCCAGAAAATTAGCTAAGAAAGTTCAAGGTGGAAAGCCTATGAGAGGGAGTTTTGTAGTGTATTGTTTGTAAGGGAATTTGAAGAGGGACTTGAAAAAGTTTGAGCAAGCAAGGTTAAACTGTGTATGGTGCTGTGAATGTATGGTTCAAGACAAGTAACTTTTCCTCATGGCTCCTCAAAGGAATAAGAAGGCTAATCTAGAGACATTCATTGGAATTTCCCCCCTTACATGATCTGCTTTCCATTGCTGTCCCCCATCCCCATCATCCTCATTGTCCCTAAGGTTTCGTGTTTGATGATTCTGATCAAGTCTTAGGTGATTATATTTTTCTCGAGAGGTGGATGACTTTTAATATGAAGAAGTTCTGACAGTGCTTTTTGTAAAGTCCCTCTTTTTGGAGGTATCTTACTTAAATTGAAACAAATAGCTTTGATTGAGAAATCTTTATATACTCACTCTTTTATGTTTCCTTGTCCATCACATTCACTCTAGTACTATATGCACACTGTCTTTTTTTATTGGTGCAGCAAGGAAAAAGCGCGTAACTCACACAACTTATTATACTGCTTAATAGACTGACCGACTGTCTGACTGTACACTGCTGCAAGTATCAGCTATACAATAAAGAAATTGAAGAAGAAAAAAAAGAAGGAATCAGCAGAGGAAGCATTATACAGCAGGCAATTGAAAAGGGGAGTCGGTACAGAACACATATATCCGCCCTCTCGTCTGCTAGTGCTGATCCATCCCTCCCTCTCCCCCCGCGGGGCTTTTCCACCACAGTGCCAAACTTGCCAACGAAGCAAGTATACCACCCATCGGCTCTCGCTGCTGTGTCCGAAAGAGAAGCAGCAGCAGGCGGGAAGAAAAAGAAAAAGAAAAGCGTCTCTTCTTAGTGCCGACGTTTCGCGAAAAGGGGACGAACGACGAGTGAACGGAACCCGCTGAACGGGGGACGGGAGAAAAAGCGAGAGAGAGAGAGAGAGAGAGAGAGGGAGAGACGATAATAAACAACAACAACAACAACGAGAAGCCATCAGTGATTGATTTGAACCGGAAGAAAGTGCTTCATTTCCCCCCCAACCCCACCCCCCAAGTTTTCCTCTTTCTCCTATTATATCATTCCCGAATAATCCCCGATGAAGTGGACGAGCGTGTTTGCATCAGTCACCCCACCGCTGCTGCTGCTCCTGATGATGGTGGCGGCGGCTGGCCGCCAAGTGGACGGATCCCCGGTGGTGGCGCCGGCGGATGCGCTGGCGGGGACCGACTACGACTTCCGCAGGGGCGCCGCCATGGCCGACGAAAGGTAATATAGTCCCCCTATGATATGATCGTGCCCCTTCGACTTCAGCTCACCTTTTCCCCAGCAAGCTGTAGATACAGCAGTATAGAGTGGCAAAAGTGAATGAGTGAAGCAATAAGTGAATTCCTTCCTCGTTTCTTTTTATTTTTTTCCTGGTGCTGCAGTGAGAAATATCTGCATATTCTGGCTACTGCTGCTGGTGGTATACAGTATTGTCAAACCTCTTGAATAAATCGAATTTTCAGTGATAAGGGACACACTCAAATACATACAGTATTTGACTCAGGAATTTGACTCAGGAATGAGGGCTCCATTTAGGTAGGAGAAACATTTTTGTTGGGGGAAAGAAAGAAGGAGTATAGCAGGAAATTGTAATTTGTGACATTTTGGGCCTCAAATTGCTTTTTGAAT